CTACTTTCTACTTCTACTTCTACTTCTACTTCTACTTCTACTTCTACTTCTACTTCTACTTTTACTTCTTCTGCCACACGGGAGCCAAAACTACACGACGAGGATGACGACGATTACTCCTATGCTCCTTTACTACTCCTCTTTCGTCCTTTTCCTGCAAAGCGATAGGCTTACAAGAATAGGTGATTGCAAGTCCCGCAAAATGATACAGTAGGCCGCCAAAACGATATCCCATATTTTTTGATTTAGCAGTAGCCCAGTAGTTTTTGTGGTAGCTCTTATGCTTCGAAGACGGTTGGTCTAAGGTGCGTATGCGAAGGAAATGGGTGTTCAGTCCTCAGCGGCCCAGCACGAAGCATGTCACAGGCCAGTCTTGTAATATTGTTAGCACTGCGTTTCAGGTGGACATGGCTTCCGAAAGCGGTGCCAAGCGTAAGTCTGTCGAGGAGGTCGGATTTCCCGACCGAGAGTTCTCTGCCGTGTCGGCTCGGAACCTTGCATGACCCTTTGAAGGCCAAGGACCTGAAGCGAAAGGGCCTCAGCAACAAGGCAGGACTTCTGGACACGCTCGCAAGTTGAGCGCGATAGGTTGTAGCAAGCAGCATTCGAGCTGTGACAGGTGGCCAAGAAGGTCTTCTGAACCTGGTGCAGCAAAGCGTGAACATAGTGGCGTAATGGACATCTTAAACCCGAAACCACAGCACTACAGTGGGCTTCCTCAGTCACGATGTTTCTCGAAGAAGCGGCAAAGCTCTGCTGACACGTCGGGATGAGCCCATCATGTTAAACACGCGCCGTTGCATCCAGCCGATTGCATGTCATTCGATTGCTGTATCTGGCCCTGTACCACTGGAAGGTTTCGATTATTGGCTTTGCCGTTCTATCCCGAAATAATGTCTATCTGTGTGGGACCTCACCTTTAAAGTGCGAGTGCCAAAACTTTTCTGAATGTACGAAGCACAGAATGCATGAGAGCGCTATCGTGGTGCATTCTGGCACACTCATGTAAAAGGACATCATGGCATGTCTGCATGTATGAAGTTAGGTCCGTAGGTAGGTAAGTAGATTCAGGCGATTGCACAAGTCCTCATGCACAAAAGTTCATATATGAACTTCTGGTTCTAGATAGTAATGTGGGAACAGGCCCTTGCATAGGCGGTATAGATATCTCCCAAACGTGTAACATCAACAAGTCACACACACACACAAATAACAGGTGCATTAATAGACAACTGCACATAAGCAGGTAGTACCCGGCTGCAGTAGTTGCATTTGCATCAATGATTACAATATGTGTTATTATTATTATTATCGCACATCGCACATATCGAATGTACATGCACATGTGTACTGTGCATGTGTCTATGCATTTGTGTATGTACTGTATGCATGTAGGTGGTAGATAGGTAGCCACCTAGGTACATAGGAACGTCCGCAGGTATGTTGGCATGAAGATGTGCGGGCATGTAAGTAGGTATGTATGCAATTACGCATGCATGTACCTATATGTATGTATGCATGCCTGCATACCTGTATATGTACATATGCTTTTCCTTGATCGGTAGACTAGGCGGGATCAGAGTGCCGTGACATGTTGTAGCATGTAATTGAATTGGCAGCAGAAGTTCGAGAGAAGTCTGTAAGCAAGCTGGTGGCAGAAAGATGTTTTGCACCAGCTGAGCGAAGGCTCGTGACCGCCGAAGCTCGTTTGAGTAAATGGGTGATGAAGATATAGAGAGGTTTCGGCCTGATCTAGAGCCAGCAGCAAGCTGAGACCAGCAGTCCCACCCTATGGGAGCGTCCTCTGTGAGATGCTGAATAAGTCGAAGCTGGATGTCATTTATTTCCTGGCACCTAGGTTGTTTCCTTGCGCCTAGGGCTTGGGCTAGAGCGACATAGCAAACCTATGCTGCAGTGGACGATACCTTGGGTACAGTTCTGACGAACATGTTGCGAAGCTGGCCGTGCCTTACCGTGACCACGCGGCAGGTGCCAGTGGAAGATGATGGGTCGCTACCTTTGTGCAGCCTGTGCAATCGGTTCAACGAGAATCTGTTCCGCGTTGGCGTTAGGCCGTGTCAAGTCAAAGAGTCGCGAGGTATCGCGAGGTGCTTCACGGTAAGTGGCATTCCGAAGCCTAGGTCGTTGACGAGGGAAGAACTTCTCGAGTTGAACAAGCAGCCGGACCAAAGACCTGCCAGCAGCTCTTTTTCAGAAGCTTCATTAAGTTTTCATCTAGTTACTGCAATTGCTGAGGCCCGACCGCGATTGCCCACGGCCTTTACCCAGACCGGCGTGGCTGGAGCCAGCTCCTGTGAAGTTTATCAAGCAGCATTCCTCGCCCAGCAGCGGCGATTACTGCGTGGCTCAAGTGTCGTCTCTCAGTGCTCCGTGTCAGTAGTCCACAGTAGTCCTGTTCAACTTCGTGCTGCACAGTCAGCTAGCTTCCATGTTCCTCCTCCTCGCACTGGCATGCATCCAGCGCATCGCTGCAGATGTGAATCGGTCGATTCAGGTGCAGCAGGCCGTCCAGCCTGTGCTTGACGAGATGGCCGTCAAGTACAACATGAGCTTCAGTTTCGGTTTTGTTGATCGATCTGGACGTGCTGCAGCTGCATCTGGCTTGAACAACATATTCAGGAAGACACCGCTGATGCCTGAGATGTTGGTGCCCCTAGGCTCCGTGACGAAGTCTTGGACTGCAGTTATGGTTATGCAGGCCGCAGAGTCTGGAAAGTTGAGCCTGGATGACCGGGCAAGTACATGGCTTGACCCAGTGATGTCCCGTCTTTGGAGCATCACCATGCAGCAGCTCTGGGGTGCACAGGTCGAGGAAGTGCGGGTGCGGGATTTGCTAGGGATGACCAGTGGCTTCCATGACTACGACGACTTCTTTCTGGAGCACTTCACGCTTGCATTCTCCGCTGACGACGCTGGGCCGCTGATCTACATTCGAAGTTCGGCGCGACAGGGTTTCCTGTGCAAACCTCGAACATGCGCCAGCTATTCTGGAGCGAACTACGTCTTGTTGGGCCTGGTCCTCGTTCAGGTCCATGGGACTTGGTCCTGGCAAGACTTGCCACAGTTAAGTGTGATTCCGAAGCAGCTTTTCGAGACAGGGCGCTACTCCCACACCAGCTTTCTGAACTTGGGCAGGTGCAGTCAGTATCCCGGTGTTGCACATCAATACACCTGGCAATACTGGAGGAATGCCAGCAGTCACCAAACCTTCCAAGATCTCTTTAGCAACTCTTGCTTGAATGGCTGGACCATGGGCAACATTGCCAGCTCGGCCCAGGACCTGGCCACCTTCTTCTTTGACCTCTTCACTTTGCCGAAAGAAAAAGGTGGCTTCTTGCGAAATGCCTCGCTCCTGGAGATGCAGAAGATGAAGCGCCTTAGTGATGACTGGTGCCTGGGGCCAACAGGATATGGCTCTTGCTCCTATGGCATGGGCCTCCTCACAGACTCTCAGAAAGAAAGTAGTTGGTGATAATGAAGATGATAATGAAGTTGGTTAAATCCCGATGGTGATGACGATGATCATGATGATTATGACGATGATGATGGTGACCCTCATCATTGCTAGCGTCATCATCATCACCACCATCATCATCAGGGCCGTTTTTTGGCTCCTGTTCGTCTTGCAGCAGATGTCTCCTGATGACAAAGTTGACTGTTGCCAGTTTCAGCACTGGCCTTTGTCTTCTTTGCCGTCTGGGGTGTGTCGGATTCTCAGAAACCGATTACAGCATCTGAGGACCAGGTTGGCCAGGACGTCTGGCCCATGCAGGACCCAAGCGCAGACCCCAAGGAGGCGAGGGTCATGGGCCACCCCGGTGAGGACTGGGGAAGTGGCTGCTCTCCGTGTGGTTACAATCAGAAATACGACTTCGGAATCTGCATTGCCTACACGAGCGTGGTGGGTATGAACTGCAGCGGCGATTTCCGGGAGAACTACGGGGCCGTTCAGGAGGCTACTTGCCGGGCTTACGATGCCGTCCTCGCCATAGTCGGTGCCCCAAGGCTCAACTGCACAGTTCCATCCCTGGTAGGGGCCCCGGAGTCGAAGACATGCAGCTGGGAAAGGAATCCGAACCATGGTCCACCGCCAGAGGCACCATTGGTTTCCCAAGCACTGGTTGTCTGAGCCATCATGTCGTTTCACTTTGTTCCATGCTGCCCGGTGCCATCGTCGAGACCAGTGGACGTCGTGGCCCAGAGGTCCACGTGGTTTGTCCAAAAGTAACTGGGCCATGTTTGCGCAGGTGCAAAGACCTGCGCTCACGGAGGTCAGTGGATGCATGTCTCATCTTGCATTATACTGTAGGAAGCCACCGGCGCGACACGAATTTTGCATGCATCTCATCGCTTGGGTGAGCGCATGCATGCATCCGGAAAAGCAGCTATTGGCGGACACGTCAAGAACACCTGCATGTCGAAGAAGCCCACGTAAAATCTAAGCTATGCGTAATGCAGCATAAGATCCATGACAAGTGAAAGTGGAGCTGTTGCCGAGGTGGTCGAAACGGCACCCAATCCAGACAGTCCGCGGTTCCAGGCGTCCGATGAGAGCTTTGCTGCGACAGATGAACTTGTCTTCTCCACAAGATTTTCAGAAAGCACGCGAAACGCGCTCAACAAGCATAATGGTGCACGTTGTCATGGAGCAAGCCCGCATACAAAGACAGCGCCATCAGATGCACAGGGCTTTGGAATCGGTCAAGGAAGCGGCAACGGCCGTTTTCGGAAGCAGGAGATTCTTTTGTCATCACGTGAGGCAATGATGTCCAGCATGCCAGACCACATGAAGGACACGAGCCGGTATTTGTGGAACGTATGTGCGAGATCCGATCGCAAACGCGCATGAGGAGATGGTCTTTTCTCCGCGAGACGAGCTGGATCTCCAGAAGCACATGGTGACCGGCGCCACGAAGGACGTTGGCTGTAGCAAAGGCAATCATATAGAGTTGCTGTTCGATCCTTGTACCTCTCCTTGCTTCCCAGCCTGTCAAGCGCCGGGTTCCAGTGATTCTGGGGGACTCATGCACCATGAGTCGGTCTTTGGTTGAGATGTCGTTTGTGCGGGTCATGCACAGGACAAGGAGCTGCTCGAAAGTATCCTCAGGCCTGTAACGATTCTCTTCGTGGTTGCAGGCTACATTCCGGTCATGTCGTTAACATTGATAGACTGAGAGTGGATCGTTGTTGCACGCAGAACCTGAATGGCCCAAGTAAGAGAAGCCTCAAGTCAATAACTGCTTATTCTTGGCCAATTCCTGCCGCCTTTATTCTACGAAGTTCTGTCTGCTAGAGTCCTTTGACAGCTTCGAGCATATCCACCAGTTTTTTATGACAGCACGCCGGGATGCTGGCAGCTTGGCCACGCTGCTCTGTGGCCGCTCACGGAGAAAGCCGCCTTGCTGGTCCCCGTAAGAAGGTGCCCGCGCAAGACTCTGGACCCGGCCCGTCTGCAGCCGCATGTACTTGCGCGGGCACCGTGGGCCTGTCGCTGGCTGTCCTGCGAGTGCTGCGGGTCCTGCGGCTGCCCAGCGCTCGCGGCCGCCTTCGCAACGATTGCTTCAGCGTCCTCCATGCACAAGCGGCGTTTTCACAGGCAGCTGCTTTTGCGGTGAGGGAATTGCAAAGCCCAGTCCACAGCATCCAGTATCTGGTTTGCATGGAAGACGGACAGAAGCCGGGGTTCGCAGGTGGACATGTCTGCCATCGCACAGGATTTCTTCGATGTTCCATCGTTAAGGCTGCCGATGTGCAGACTAGACCGTCAGACAAGGAGATAGCACGTGACACAGCAGCAACTCCACCTGCCAGGCCGGAGCAACGTGAGGCAGGCTTGGGCGTCGAAGGGACACGATTTTTACAGATGCGACCTCTTTTGAGGTCGTCGAGGCGGCCGTCCAACAGAAGGTGACAGGGCCGGGGGTCGAGGCTGGTCAAGAGCAGAAAACTTGCATCCGCAGGACACCTGCGTCTTCTGGTCAACGGGCACTGGCAAGTCGCTGTGCTTTCAGCTGGTGCCCATCATCACTCAACGGACTGCCTTCGTGGTGTGTCGCTTGGTCTCTGCAACGAGCTTTGGTTTGTTCCATTTCTGCTACCCCAGGTCAGCCCTCTGATAGCCTTGATGAAGGACCAGGTGCTGCGTTTCAACGAGCTCGCGGAGAAGAAAGGCACGGCGGCACCGTGCTCGCATCTTGATATGGCCCTCAGGAGGTTTGCTGCACGCGAAGCTTTTCACGTTTGAGCAATTCTCGCATGTTTGTGATTAAGCTAAGCCGCAGGCGAGAGCTATCGTGCCTGCTTTCTCGGGTCAGGCGCACTGCGCCGCTCAAGTGAGTCGAGTTTTCTGCCTTGCTGCGAAGGCCACGAAGATGTGGAGACACGAGAGAGAATCGAGGCTGATGCGCTGGAAGGAGCTGCCATCGGGAGCTCAAGGGCCATGTTTTGACTACAGGTTTTGAGAGAATCCTGTGGGAGGAAAGTACAGCCTCGTTTACCTGACCCCGGAGAAGCTGGTGAGAACGCTGTTTAACTTGAGGCCGGAGCTGCTATGCAGCTTAAGTCGGGTGCATCATCTGCATCTCCTGGTCACCTGGTCTGCTAGCTTCAAGGTGCGGAATTGCGTAAGAATCGCTGTCAGAAACACAGAGTCATCGTCCATGGTTCCGGCTGAGGAGCATGCACAAGCAGAGAAAAATTGGTTTGCTCGCGGTTGATGAGGCCTTGCAGGGCTATGCGCCGCGCCTTCCCGAAAAAGCCTTGCTTGGGATGCTTGGGGTGAGCTCTGCCCTGCTCGGAAAGGCGCACTGCATTCTTGAGTGGGGCGGCGACTTCAGGCCTCTGGGCCATGAATTTAGCCTTCCCCTTCCCCTGCCGCCGGCCGCGCACAGGCCAGAGTACAGAGATCTTGAATACTTCCGAGAAGACTATCCAGATGTTCCGATCATGGCGTCGCTGGCTTGGACTTGGAATGTGGGCCTTCGATGGCTTTCGAGTATGGGCTTGGCAAGCCGAGCAATCCTGTGCAGTTGCGGCGTTCAAGGCTGACTGCATTGGGGACGCCAGCTGTCGAGGACCGTCGCTGAGCAAGGGTCTTGTTGGTTGAAAACGGAGTGCAAGCCCCACTGCAGGATGCTGCGATAGTCTCACATAATTGGATTTCAGACTTGTTCACTCGTTGCCCACAAGCTGTGGAGCTGTTCGAGTCAGGCTGAAGTCAAACGATATCTACGCTTGCGCTTCGCCCAGGCGGATGCAGCTTTGTGTATAGAAGCTACGTCGTTTCATCCTGGGTTCCGTTTTTTTAGAAGGTTTGGCCAAATTGGGGTTGTTAGAAGGTTTGGCTAAGTCTTGGTTCGCTGGTCCGCTGGTTTCCTGGTCCCCTGGTCCTCCGGTCCTCTGGTCCGCTGGTCCTCTGGTACTTTGGTCTTCGGTTCCCCGGTCCGCTGGTTCTCTGGTCCTCTGGTCCCGTGGTCCTTTGGCCCGCCGGTCCTCCGACCAGGTTCTTGCGTAGAAATGTTGGTGTGCTGGGGGAGGACAGATGATCGGCTACATACGCGCACCAATCTGCTGGCTAGCCGGATCAAGACAACAGAGAACGGAGTATAACCTCGGACGCCAAGGATACTGCCTTTCGAGTTCGTGACAAATTCGTATGCTTCGCTGCGGTCTCTCCCACACACACCCACCCACCCACCCA